CATAGCGTTCCGGGGGGAGCGGGGGGCCGGCGGCGTCCCGGCCGTGAGGTTCGCTGGGTTAACGCGCCACTCTGCTGGAACGGAGGCGGCTCAGATGCGGGGCTGTGCGTGTCGGGGCCGGTCAGGTAATTCCACGAGCCCGCTTCGGCCCAGCAGCCGCCGCTCCTCTCCCGGAGCCTGTGCACCCGCGCTGCGCAGCGCTGCTCACTCGGAAGGCGCCAGGCAGCTTTTTATCCCTTCGCCCCTCTCCTCCCCTCCTCAGGACTAGTACTGCGGAGGTACAGGTGTTCAGCCCATGCCGATGGTTTTTTTTTGTTTTGTTTTGTTTGTTTGTTTTTTTCATGAAAGAGAAACTATAAATTAAGCCCAGTAGATATTTCAGCTTCACTTCCCTAACAGTCATGTTCACTACTGACTCCTCAGCCGGTGCAGCTGCTGAGTCAATCGCAAAACTTCCTAGTCCAGCTAGTCAAATCTGTGTTTTTTTTTCTGACACGGCCTTAGAAGCAAGGTGGGTTTTTTTGTTTACAGCAGGAGCAATTACGATATTTCTTAGAAATACTTAACAGCTCTAAGGTTGGGCTGAATATGTTGTAACAAATGATTGCGTTGCTGCTGAAGACAAATGCGGTTGCCAGTCTGACTCCTCAACAGGTGAAACCCGATCTTAAGAAAAAGTAATTTCAAAGAGGTTGTTGGGGTTTTTTTCCTTTTGTTTTTGAGCTTTGCTATACGATGTTTTCAGAATGCCAAACGACCAAAGAGATGAAAAATGGGTTTGGTATTAACAAAACTAGAATTATTTTATGACGTGACTTTTGAAAGCTAAATGACATCAGAACTAACGTTTGTGCAGCTGTCTTGAGTGTGACGCTTCACACCCGCAGAAACTGAACAGAATTGAAGCCCCATTTCCAGGCGTTGTAAAATAAGCTGTCAAGGGCCAGTGTGTCCTTGTGTCTCAGCTTATTTTAAAGAGAATGGTATTTCAGCATCTACCTTAAAATAGTGCTCTAATGTGGACGAGGGATGGATGGGGTCAAACTGAAGTATTCCTAAGGCTGTTTAGGTACTCAGCCAAACAGCATCCACAAGAGAAGCAGTACATTTCAGCACAGGTGCTCAGCCAAGAGCATAGAAGTTCTATGTTGTAAGTAAGAGAAGGTTTGCACGAAAGAGTATCAATATTCTTGGGTGCAGAAATCACAAGTAAGCATGAAATGGGAGCTGGCAGGATTAGGCAGGTCTGATTGCTGCCCTTTGTGGAGAAGGACAGAACAGCACAAACATGTAAATAGGATTTCCTTCCTGCAGGAAGTTGGGCACAGTGGTAGCTAATTTTTAGGCTTTCTTATTCTGCATTTGTTAAAATATTGCTGAAGGTGCCAAGTATAATCGGCATTCCTTCAACCCAAAGCTTCTTACAAGTCAGGAGAATCTATCTAAATCATTTAGGAGCCTAGCTAGGGATGTTTTATTTGCTTCAGGGTATTTCATAGCCTCTTCAAGGGCCTTAGGTACAGACTTATGTAGAAGCTGCTCCACAACAAAGACAAGCTTGGATTGTCGGAGTACATGACAAATGTGTGAACATACTTGTAGGAGCCCCAGAATGATTTTTTTGTATTTCTGGGGATGGCACAACACAAGCAGATTGAATCTTCCACCAACCGAATTTCCAGCAAGAGCAATATTGAAGGTGACGAAACTGAATTAATTTCCCATTAACAGCTAAGTTTTCTCGTGGGATCTCAAGCTGACGAAAAGTTGTTATACCTTTGTGAGTGAGAGCTCCATTGAGAGGTGTTGTGCCACATCTGGCAAAGAATATCTGCAGCACTGTTTTGTTTTTTAAAGGAAGCTTTCAGTAATAGAAGTGAAGCAACTGTAGTTGTCTGTGGCTGGGAAACTGATGACTCAGACGCTATTCATGCTGTTGAAAGACTGTTTTATGAGACCCCTCAGAGCTGTGGGTGGACCTGGAGAGGAGTTTGAAGGCAGACTTCGTACGCAGTGGTGCCTGCAGTGGTGTCTGATGATTGTCCTATCATACATTGCTAACAGCAGATCCTTTTGGAGGTTTTCTTTAATCGTTGGGTGGTGAGGCTGCAGAAAAGGTCATGGCAGGGGATTTCACCATTTCTTTTATCTAAAGAGGTGTACCATCAGGTCAAAAAAGAACTGCTGAAGCAGCACTCTGCCTTACAGGGGGAAAGAAAGTGTTGGAGTTTGCTTTGACCCTGGTACACCCCTGTGTGTAACCATTTGTAACTAGTGACATTTTCCCATCAATAACAAAAGGGTATATTCCAAACCTGATGAACAAGACTGTAGCTGCATAGCTCCCATGAATGCTAATAGGAGTACAGCCTTTCTCCATCCCCGTGTAAGTTACTTTGCATATCCTAATAGTGCATTCTCAGTGAGCAGTGGGGTCAGTGTTAATCACTCCGTCGCATTCCAAGAGCAACGGCGGGAATCTCTACCACGTTCCCCTTGGCCATCTTCTATCTCGTGTGGCTTGAGCAGAGCTAGGAAGTTAAGTATACACGTAGGGATGTTAAAAAGATCTTAAGGAATTAATAGAAAGGAACTGTAAAGGAGATATTGGAGGGCTGATGTAACTTGTCATTTTTAATTAAAAAAAATAGATTCTTTCTGTCTGGAATTTACATACATGTGCCACCACTCTTTTTGTAAGTCTATAAGTCATTCTGTGGTTTGGCACCATAGTGCTAGCTTTACATTTAGATAGCTAGTGCCAGGTGTCTGAATGTGTGTTTTAATTGCTTGAATGACATGATAATCTATGACTCATTAAAAGATTCACACAGAAATAAACATACAGCCTTTGTCTGTCTCTGCTTCCCTGCTTGGAACGATACTAAAAATGTAGGAAACAGTAATGTCCACAAGGTACATCTGCAGCTCAGGCGGAGTCCAGATAAAGTGTGAAGTTATTAAGCAGATGTGTCTGACTGCAAGATGTGTAAGGTGCAGTAAGAGGAGCTGTTTAAGAACTATAAAAGTATGCGGAAAGCAAATAATGCTAACTCTGCAAACACTTGCAGAGTAGGCTGTTCTCCAGTGGAAATATTTTCGTGTATACATTCATCTGTAAGTACTGAACCTGAAACTGAGACCTCGATCCTCAAGGCTAGCAGAAATGCTTTTTAGATAGCAAGGTTCCAGCAGTTTCACTCTAAAAGTGGGTGAAATATGACCACAAAATTTAATTGTTTAATTTAGTATTGTTATGGTTTTAATGAGAATAAATGAAAATTTGTCTTTGCATTGAGACTGTTATTTCCAGATACATATTTCATATATTCACTGCTTCCATTTGGTTTTCAACATGAACTGGTTACTTTTTATTTAATATTATTCAAATTTAATATGTATTCAGAATAGAAATATGCTGTGTACCTTCCATAACACAGCCAGTAGGGTGCATTGGTCGTTTGATATTTAGTTTTCAAAAATCTGTAAAGAACTGCCTATTTGCTTCTGATTTAAATTTTACTTTGCTCAGCTCAGGTATCCTCTAAATAAGAAAATCCACCAGTGAAACCGTTCAGTTATGGTAGAGATGGTATGAAAAAATGGAGCATAGGGTCTTAAAAATTGGTTTCAGATTATTCAGAGACAGATTTTGCTGTAAGATTCTGAATTCATCTTTATATACCTGTATTGATGAATAAGAGTTTTTATGTAGTGATAACTGAAGTTCTTTTTTTATTTTTTTAAAGATTGTCATAGATACCTTTCAATTTTAGCTGGATGAATCTGTAGTTAAGCTCAGGAATAGCTGTTACTTTTTGGTGTGCTTTCCCTGAGTAAATTTAAAGAACCCTTTCAGTGATTGTATTGTTTTTTCTCTAAGGGAATTTTGCACTGTAGTAAAGTCGGTTTTGGTTTTGGTTTGTTTGGTTGGGTTTTTTTTTTTATGAATTAAACATTCAGAGCTTCTTAACTTTTGTTCTCTGCTTTCTCTAGCTGTCAGTTTTGAGGAATGTAATTTGTTTGCATCCTCTGTGGATTTCAGCATCGTGTTTAAAATGTGGACACCAGAACTTTATGCAGGTTCAAATATCCATCCCATTAGTGCTACATATAAAGGTAAAACATTCCCCCACCCCAGCTCCTTGTCACTACTCCACTCTTGAGGTGTCTAAAGATCACACTAACTGTTTTTTCCCAGTCACAACATGACACTTACAGTGAGCTGCTTGTCTGCTGGAGTTTCTTCAGATGAAAAAGATCTGGAAGACCACTTGTAAGGTGTAACCTGTATTTTGGCTTTGAATGTATTCAGCAGCATTAGCGTGACTTGTTTTAATGGAGCCAACTTACCAGGTGAGCCAAACCACTGTAGTACTGCCATTTCCTTTCTGCAGATATTGATCTCACAAACATCCAGTCGTGATTTTTGTGTTTACAGGGAGAGAGTGCTGAGGAGCAGCAGATCTATTTGTACACCTTGTTGAACTACATACTAGAAATATTTTTATTTGTTTATGAGGAAATTTACATTTTGTTGCTAGTCTTTTACTGGAGGATGCATTTTGACATCTACCAGCTATGTAGACCATTTTACAGCACTGCACTCCTTACTAACATTGACTATGTATTTACCGTATGGTAATGTGATTAGAGGACTTACTTTTTAACTATTCAGTTCTGTTATACCAGCACAATTACTGTCATTCGAATTTACAATCTTTCAGAATTAAACCAAATTGCACTATTTATATAAGATCACGTATTTATTCCATTCATTTCTTTGACTTTCTTAGTGAAATTCCACATCAGCCTTTACATTATTTTGGCTAGGTTTACTGTCAGGCTGCATTTATGGTCTAAACTTCCTTTTGTATCTTTGTAACTGATTGTTATGGACATTTATAATATAGTTATTAAACTTGCCATTGTCTTGCCAACCCAGTAGTTTTCCCTTATGTCTTTAAAATTCTATAATTTATACAGTGTAATTAAAAACATCTGCTCTCTAGTTCCCTTTTTCATAACGTCTATACTGATTTACTTTTTATTTTGTGTCTCTTCTTCTTAATTTTGGAAATAAAAATCTTAAGGATTTTGATAGTTTCCCCCCACGGGAGGGAGTTGAATGTTACATGGTATTAAGCATTAGGATTTCAGCGGTGGAAGATTTCTTTGGCCACCTTGTTACTGATAATTCTCCCTTACTGCTGGCACAGCTGTGTAAGTACGGTTGCATCTTCACTGATATGGACCTGTCCTCAGCTACAGACCTGCCAGGGGCGGGTTGTTACTGCAGATGTATTCTGTATGGATGCATTGATATCTACAGCTACAGCTGAGAAAATCTTTCCCTGGCAAGCACTCCTTTGATGTCATTCCACTGAGTGGGAAAGTGCCCTTACACAGGCCCTGGTACACCCATGCAGTCCTGTCAACTGTGCAGCCTCTTCTTCCCCCCTTCTGCTGTTCTTCCCACGTGAAGAGAGGCCTGTAGGCAAGTGAGGAAGCTGTCTGGGATATCCTAGCGTTACTTTCATCCTTTGTTTTAAGCTCCTCACGGCTGCAATAGTGGGGTGTGCTGAGCAGCTTTTACAAAAGGGAGAAGGAATTGTAGACGGGAGTGGGAGCAGGAGTGGGGAGACTATCTCATGGTCAAGGATCTGATTCAGGGTCTTGAAAAGCTTTAATGTATGAGCAGGTGTGGCATTCACAGCCTGCTGTACTGACAAGTATTTGAACTGTGTGCTTAAGGTGCCTTCAGTTTTCACCTAGAATGGCATTCAAGAGTAAATTAAACTGTTGAATTAACACTCTGCTCCAGGTATTACTAATAGTAATGGTACTGTAATTGTGTGTGAACATCTTGCTATGCTTGCATTCAAATTTTCCTTATAAGGTGGACTAAAAAAAATGAAAAAATTATCACGTGCTATAGCTATCTGTAATGTACAATATCTATCAGTATAGAGCTTAAGAAATGAGTGTTTTTCATACAAAAAATGCTGGTTTCAGTTTTGCCTTTATCTTTGTCATTTTTAAATAGTACTGTATTTTAACAAATAAGAAAGTAGTTGTAAAATAAATCATCCCGTTCAACTTTTTCAAGCATTTAAAGTACGATTACAAATGTCCAGTTTATGACATAAATAAGACAGTGATCTGGTCAACAGAGAAGCTCATTGACAGGAGCATTTTCATGAATTTTAAAAGAGATTCCCTCCACCCCTGTTTTCTTACCACTTTTGTCTTTCTATTCGATTCAGCTTCTATACGGGACAGCAGAATGTGTCAGAAACCTTTAAGTTCTTTCAATGAGTATCAGGCATGTTAATGCAAATACATGAGGAGTAATCCCTCCACAAGGAGAGACAGTAACATAGCCCACACGACATCAGTAAACTGTTTACAAGGTATTAATATGCCCACTGTGACAAGATGTATTTAATGGGAAGCAACAAGGAATTTGTTTTATTAGTTTTCCTCCACCCTCAAGTAATAAATCTTAAAAGCTTCAATATTGATTCAATGAAATGAATGGCTGAATCGTTCTGGAGAGGCTCTGACAAGTGGACAAATGCTTCCATGGTTACATTGTGCTATGCAGTATGGTTACTGAGCTTTGTTGGTTTCCTCCCTCTGCCATTGAAGTAAAATAACAAACCACAGGGAAGCACCACACATGGTGGGCATAAACTGGAAACAACTTTAAAAGATCGAGTTAGCTGATCTTATACAGATTTTAAACAATATGAGGTTTATTGATTTATCCCCTAAACCTGCATTTCCATACTTTCTCCTTCATATATCAGTCTCTGATGGAGCAATTTTATTTCTTGTCTGAACCACCTCTCGCTTTTGATTTGCAATGACATAAGTTAATAGGCTATGTAGAAGTGTGTTTCATAGTAGTGTTACATGGGTTATGTTTTTCTAGGAATGATTTTATCTCAAGTGATGTCACTGCATCCGTGCAGGCTTCTGCAATAGCTAGATGGTGAATCACACATCACGTATAGAACTTTTGCCTGTAGTTGTTTTAGGGTGCTTTTTCAGTATAATGTAATAAACTGGTTTGATATTCCATCTCCTTGTATCAAATTTCAGGCGTCACAGGGATGAGGGAGATAATAAACACGTAACTTCACAGAAGTGACATTTTAAAAAATAATAAAAAGTAATGGCATACAGTTATTGCATTAACTTAAAAAAGTTGCAGATCAAGCCTGAAGAGAAGGAAATCCTGAAGGCCTTAGATTTCATTCAGGACAAAGTATAAAGAAAACTTAAAGTGGATGTGTTGAAAGCAGTTGCATATTTTTCCCTTGCAGACCAACTCTGAAAAGCGTGCATGTTGTCCTCTGTGTCAGCAGAGGGTTTTTTTCCTCTACGTGCTTGACAGTCCCTAGGATTGCTATCTCAGCATCAGAATGCTAAGATGCTCCAGTGCCCCTTTGCAGACACAATTTTACAGCAAGAGTGAATGCCAGGATTCCCCACAGTTGGGGAATCCCCCCAAATTAATCAACATCGAGGATAGTTACTTCTGAGACAGAAATTCTGTCCTTACAGCGGTCCATCGGGAGCTTACATTTATTGTGGGTACTGAATTTCACATTTACTCAGGTAATGTCTCTTTGATCTCAAGGGGGAAAAGTAAGCAACAAGTGAGTAAACACTTCAATGTTTCACTTAAAGAATTTCAGGAAAGAGAAAAGTCAACTTCTATGTAGAAAAAAGCGTAAGTTATTTGTGTTTCCCAGTAGGTTTTTTTTCCCCATTCAGAAGGAAGCAAACAAAATACCCAGCTGTGAATTGGGAAAGGCAGTGAGGTTGTATCCAGCAGCTGGAACCCTTTTGCTCTTATCTTTATTATTCTGAAACACTTTTTGAGGACTTTGAAGTTAAGAGCAACCTAGATGCAAGAGATTATGAGAGTTTTCAATGTTTTTATGTTTTACCTTCAGGGAAATGCACTTTTGATAAGCGTTCTTTTTGAATTTTCACTCTAATGCTTGACATGCTCTGAAGTTGTGTGTTTTGATGGATGTTTTATGAGATAGTATGCAGCAAATCAGAAGTAACATGCCACAAAGGAAGAACTGGGCACACTTGAGTGGGAGAAACAAGGCTGCAACTTTATTTAGCAACAATAAATGCACAAGAGGAGCAGGCAGATGATTCTTGCCAGGTTCTAAATCTTGCTGTTTCTCCATGAGACCCGTGATCCAGTAGGTTTGAAAGGAGCCACTGAGTGTTGAAAGACTAAACCATCTCTTCAGAGATGGCATTCTTTATTGTGATGACACAAAATGACAGAAGTTGTGTCAAAATTGCATGCTGGAGCTTGATCAACCAAATCTGAGATGCAGTAAGTTGAAACAAAGATGTTACTTCCTCATTAATTTGTTCAGTTTTTAACACTTGAACATATTTCAATTAACATTTTCTAAAAGTCATCTCATTTTTTGGTGAGAGTCTTGTCAAATATGTAGCTAAGTTCAGTAATAAAAAGGTTATGATTATATGAATATTATTTCTGCTGTAGTGTGTGTTAAAATATAAGAACCTCACATGAACAGATGCCAGGGTACATTTACTTTTTTCCTGATAATGGGAATACATAATTTTTTTCAGTTAAAAGCTCATTTTAAATATTAACATCACATGCTTTCAGTATGCAAGTAATGAGCTGCACCATGAAAAGGTTAACCTTTGCAAGCTGATTACAGGAAGCATAAACAAATGAATGTTTGTCCATTGATAAAGGACATGATCTTGGATGTTTTTTTTTTTCACTTTCTTAAATCCTGGGCATCTGTGAAAAATAGAGGATCAAAACCTGAATTTATCTACGTACATCTGCACATCAATCAGTCTGGCATAAACCACTGGATCAGAAGCATAATACTTAAATTTTGTCTTTGAGTCTTCTCAGATTATTAGTACCGTTTGTATCTGTCTACTTTCTGCTCTTTCTTGCATGGGTTTGTTAATTTATCAGGAAGCTCTACAGTAAAATCAAGACTTTCGTACAAAAGCATTCCCAGCCCATCAGGAAGGACCTCGTTTCACATTTTGAAGAACAAACACGGGCTTGATCCTAAACTGCTGTGGGGTGGTGGTCAGAAGCCTGGCGACACAGACGAGTTGGGCTCTGAGGCGAACACACCTCTTTGGTGTCAGTCTTGGTCAGTTCTGCCTTCTTTCACACCATGGCTTTGGGCGTAGTTCCCTGAAGAGTGTGCTGTCCAAGTCATGTCCTGTAGTTGTGGCTGCTGTTTCTTTCAGTGCTGCCAGTTAGATCAGCTCCCCCGTGTGAATCACACCGAGAAGTAATGAGGAAGAACACGGGG